AGAGATGATCCTTCATGCTACCCTGAGCCATCACTGCTTTGCAGGCACAAGTCTGGCGTGTAGACATGGGCAGGCCCTCACCTCTGAGTCCTGACTTGTCACATCCTGGTTCCCCGTGGGATATTCATTTATTGCAGCACCAGAAAGTATCCCTGCGGGATCAGCGCACTTGGCCAACAAAAAGAGGACGTGGCTCTGCATCTTCCCTGCACTTCTGCCGTCCTGCTCTTGGCTTGGAGCAAGCAGGTGAGGAACCTCACTCATTCCTACACACCTGCACCCAGGGTATGTGTATGGACATGGGGCTCTTGCACCATTCGATTCTCTTGCATAAGCACCTAATGAGAGTCCGAATCTAGCCACTGACTGTCAAATACGGAGGTAGGTCTAAACTGAGAAATTTCTGCTCTGAATCTGAGGTGGCCTCAATCAGGTCTCACTTCTAACCTCTCCCCTGGAAGTGAGCCTGGGACCATGATTTTAGAAAACCAATGTGCTAGGAATTTCCTCTCACTGGGGCTGCAGAACAAGACAGCTAGCAACACTTCCTTTTAATGAGGGTAAGTAATGGGAGCCTAATGTGCTATCTACATATATGGCTGCACCTGAAAAGAAATAAAGTCTATGGGATGAATCTTTAAAGGTATTCAGGAACCTACCAATGCAGATTGGCACCTAGGTGGACTTTCAAGAGCAGCTGCATGTGTTTAACTCCCAGTAGGGACTTAGGTACCTTAAAGAAATCCCAGGCTGTATCTGCCCCTTCCGGGCCCATAATTCCCTTAAAAATATCGCCAGACCCTGGGTTTGTCCGAAATAGTTGTGCCAGTGTGAAAGGTGCCAGCATACAATGCAAGATGCTCAGAGGGTATAAACAGGCATCGCTCCACCGCTGCGCCCCACCGAGTCCACGTGTTGCCCTCTGCGTCTGCAGGCAGATGTCCCATGACTGTCAATACAAGCTCCACGTGTGTAGAGAGGGAAGAATACATCCCCTCAGGAGGTATCTTTCCTAATTAGGATTTCATCCCTTGTTAAACAAACAACTTCTTAAAGAGCCATTAGCCTTGCAAACATATTCTTATTAATTGCACCGATGCTCTTGACAATTGTATTGCATGCTTGGGGACATGCATCATAAAACCAGGCAGGAGCAGAGTTACGCAGCAGATAGCATTGCACAGAGGTAGTAGGGAGTACATCTGGATTTAAAACGGATTGAATGCACTGGCAGTACATTTGTAGATTATTCAACAACCCAAAAAATAATCACTAGCAATATTTCTGCTTTTAAATACAGTCTTGTTAGTCATCTCTCTCATGGTGCTTTGGCTATATTTATTAGCTAACCTTCACAAAACCCACAGAGCAGGCAACTGTTAGCTTTCCTGATGTGCAAACTGATTCACAGAGATCAAACAATTTGTCCAAACTCACACAAGTACCAAGAAGTAAACCCTGATGTTTTACCCAAGTCCTGGATAACTAATGCTAGGCAAAAAATCTGTCTACATACTTTACTCGCTGAAAAATGCCTAGTCAGATCCACCAAACTATTATTAAACTTATACCAGTTTAAAAAAAAAAAAAGAGGAAAAAATAAGGAGACTTTTAATTTGGCATTTTCAAACGGAAACATTTTGATTGCTCGCTTTGAATTATTTTTCTAAGTTCTTTTACATGGAGGACCTCCCTCCTCCATGACACACACATTGTTTTTTAAGTTGAAAAAAACATTTCAGCAGTTCCAAAATGAGTTTAAAGTTTTTATTTAGGTGGAAAAAAAATATTGTTTCAATTTAACCTGAAACGAATATTGCAATTTTTGTGGGGTTTGATTAATACATCAATGACTTGCTCTGTTAATAACCACTGAGGATGCTTGCCCCAGAGAGTGGACCAGGCCTTCGAGCGGGGGGGAATTTATGGAGCTACATAGGAATTGCACTGGAATGCCACTGATTTGTATCAGCTGACAAGCCAAGCCTATAGGTGTAAAGATCTTTTCAGAAGCTCACCCCCCTATGTAGCTAAGCATTACTGAGTGGTTCTCACATTTGAAATTGCAAATTGCAGTTCAGGGACGTCAGAGGCAGCGATTTTTTTGACACTTAAAAAGTACGGCTGGATTTCTGCGGGGTTCTTGAACCATAAGCGACACCGGGAAGCACGCGGCCAAGTTCTTTTCATACAGAACCTGGCAAAGGGCATGAAAATGGGGAGAGCAAATGTGATCAGGAAATGTGCTCCAAGGAGAAAAGCCAGATCTTCATCTAGCGTCAATCAGTGACTTCAACAGGCCTGGCTTGATTTACATCCGGAGCTCAAACTGGCGCAAACTCAGCAAAACAAAAGATTTTCTCCTGAAAAGAAATGTGGCCGGGACCACTACTCAATGATTCCTACTGATGGCAATGCTACTGTCAGAAAGAAAAGCTCCACATCCCTAGCTTCATTAATGCCAGGCAAATGAGTCAGGGTAGGGCTTAACAGGGGGATGTCTGACCAACCTTGTCCTGACTAGTCAAGAAGATGGGGTTGGGGTCATGACACCATCAGGAACACAGAGCTGATGGCAGAGATCACTTCTACTACTGGTGTCTCTGCTCCTTTTGTATTCCCGCAGCACGGTTAGATCAAGCCTCTTTCCGAACTCTTTAGCCTCGTAACACTGTGCAGAAGACAGGTAAATCCTATTGTATCTAGTGGAGCTGCGGAGTAAAGCACTTGCCTAAAGTCACCCTGGGGCAACCACGAGAGTTGGCTCCCCTTCTCCTGCTCTGAGTAGCACAGGACACGCTCAAGGAGAGAGGTGGGCTCTTTGAAGAGATAACTTGAATTCTTACAGTGATCTGACTCTTGGCTTATCATCAGAGGCAAGCAGAGAAGGGATTTGTACCAGGCTTGAGTGTCTTTGGCAGGGTTAAACCCCAAAACCCAAAGGCTCCTGGTTCTCCGCCCTTCCTCTCCCCTGCCCCAAACTCAGACCACCACGAGTCCTTCACATCGATTTAGATTTGCAAAGTGCTGCTGGCAATGGTGGATCAAAAGCTTTAAGAGAGAAAAAAAATCATCACAGCAAAACGGCTTCCAGAACTGCTGATCAGACCGAGTCACGCTGTCCCCGACCGTGCTGGCTTTCCCTGACGCACTGAGTGAATCTGGCTGCTTCAGTACAGTACAATGACAACATTGCTGGAAAAAAAAAATCTGACTCCAAATCAACGTGCTGCATCCTAGATCTGACAGGCAGAGCCTCCGATCCCTTGGCACCTCCCTGTAGGGTCAGATGACAACAGGATGGAGGGGGGGAAAAAAGTAGCACGGATAGCGTCAAAAAGATGCATTTTGGCCACTGCCTGACCCTGTGGGCATCCCTGCAGCAGTAACAGAGGGCACGAGATGGCTTTGAAATGTCCTGGGCTACAGGATTTCTCTAAAGTGGTTTCCTTTCCTGAGTTGTGTGCGTGGGCTGTGGTTGGAGAAGGATGGCTCGCAAAAGGGGGGCGTACATAAGAGACTATGCTGAGCCATGCTGATTTACAACCACTGAGAGTCTGGCCTTTTACAGTACTTCTGTTTGCGGGGGGCAGGCAGGAAAGACAGCCGGGGGGACTCAAACTGCCTTTACTTTGCAGATGGCTTGGGCTGCTCCAAGGGGAAAATCCATCTAAGCAAGCTGCTAAAAGCTGAGTGTGGAGCCGGCAGCTCTGGTTCCCAGCAGGACAGAGGTGGCTCCCACTGCGTTAGAGAAACACTGGCAGCAAGATTTTAACACTCAGAATAAAAGCTGGGAAGATTTGCCAAGGGGAAGGGGAGGGGGCAATACTTACCCTAACGCAGCTCTGCCCTGTAAAGCATCTCAGAGCGCGCCCGGCATCGGTCCCCTCTCTGGGAGGTAGGCATGGACTGCATGCCTTTTACGCACAGACACCCCGAAGCCCAGGGAAGTTAAATAACTCTCCCGATGCATCAGATCAAACCTCAAGCAGATTGAGTGTTAGGACCCAGGCACTGAGCAGAGGACGGCTGAGCCAACAGCACCTGAAACCCGGCAGCTTCACAGGGTCTCCAGGGAGTGAAGGCAGAACAGGGATTTCCCTTATTAAGGAGCAGCACACACACTGGTACGAGTCAAGGCAGAAAGAGGCTTCCCTGCTCAAGGCTTCCCATACATATCCCTGATATAACACACGGGTTGCCCAGGCCAGGGGGTTAGCCCAAAAATCCTCCTGTCACTTTTACAGCCATACTCAAAAGATGGCCTCTCCATTTGCAAAGGTGATGCCTGCTCCGTAGCCCATCAAAGCCAACAAGAGTCTTTCCATTAACTTCCATCAGCTTTGGATCAGGCCCTTTTTCCATCGGCAGCTCTGAAAACTTACCTGAGGGTTGCAAGGGGCTGCCTGTCAGGAACCTGAGTCATGGGGGCATGAGAAACTCAGACAACTCACAACAAGGAAACAGTGGAGAGAGGGAGCTAATACCAACGCCTCGACACTTGCGGTGCAAATGAAACATCAGGATTCATTCTCTGCATGTGCCTGCCTGCGCCTGAACTTCAGTGTGCCTGTCAAAACCCTCCTGCTCTTTCTGGGCAGTTCGGAAAGCCTGTAGCAGCAAGTGGGTGGCATTTTTGTGTTCCTTCTCTACACCATGAAGTCAGTTTGTGATAGAAAGTAGTGCTTTCATGGTGGGCATAATTGAAAGGCTCCAGAATGGCTGGCAGGAGCCTGCATCAACTCTGAGGACAGAGCTGTTTCCACGTATTGCGAAGTTTGGAGCTGGCTGATTTTAACTCCAGATTGGAGAAGGGCCCCGTCCCCCAACCTCACCTAGGGAGCCTGGAAAGTTGGCCCCTGGAGGACCTCAATAGATAAGGGTGGGAAGGGGGGGATACTTCTCCCAGGTGGGGATCAGACACAGCGGGCACAGGGCCAT